ACAAGATTCCAGACAATTTATGTCATTTACACTGCTTTATTTTATCTGTTCTATGTGTATATTTATTAGTAATCAGTCTATATGAGATCTTAAAGATATAGAGTTATCATTTAGTAATAGGTAATTTATGTAGATAATATTGTTGTAATGTCACTCACAAAATAGTCTTTGCCATCTCAAAATGCCTCTCACAAGCTCATTTTTTCTTAGAGGTAAACCTTATAAGCCAAAAGGTGCTCAGCTACAAAAGGATTTGCAAATTTTCAAAGCAATTCACATTATAATTATTTGATAGTTTCATATGAATTTGATATTCTCACGATCACACTTATTAATGTCATGAACAGATTAATGTCGTTCGTAAGGCTTCAAACTCTTCAAGCACCAACGGTTTACAAAATTAAAAATCGAGAAATTGCAAATAATTAAAATCTCGATTTTGTGGTACTGTACCAAATGACACAAATGACAGGGGAGATGACAGCGATAAGGACATGAGAAGTGAAATTGACTTCATCGTTCGAACCACCATGTTTAAAAGCATTGAAGGGTAACAACGATTAGGAGAGCCTAGACTCGTGGTTATGGTTTTTCCTCTTCTTGTTAAAGCTTGTAAACCGAAAAGAACCAAGAGAGCGAGTCGACCTTACAGGGGACGTGTGATCAGAAACAAAATAAAATTATGATAATTTGGGACATCATCATCAATTTTTTTTAGTCAAAAGGGTTTTTGACAAATACGGTATTTTAAAAGATAAGAATAATAACATTCAAATTTAAAATCACAGAAGTGCAAAATTTTAAAATTTAACAAGAATTTGGTATACAAAATTCTCAAATGTAAAACCCTAATGATATGATTGATCTCCCTCAAAACTAATACGTTTGAATTTTGAAAAACATTTAAACAAAAATGTTTATTCTTGGACTCCATTACATGTAATCAATGTCCTTGGGTTGTCTCTCCTCGATCTCCTCGCCCAACTACCCATCGCATCAAATCATCAGTACGCTCTTCCTACTTACCAACAACCACACTCCTAAAAGTTGGGTGCTACAATCAAACCAATCTTATCTTCTAAGCAAAACTATCAACTTCCAGGTCTGTTTATATCTCCAGAATCCAGATCACCTTCTCTGTAATCATAATTGAATTCCAAGTGTCTATCGTTGGCAGGGTCGTTCCGATTGTTGAAGAATGGCGAGAAAGAAGATTAGAGAGTATGATTCAAAGAGGCTGTTGAAGGAACATTTGAAAAGACTGGCAGGGATCGACCTTCAGATCTGCTCTGCTCAGGTCTGAGACTGCTTTTGTATTTCTAGTTATCCATGTGCTCTAGTATATATGTAATATTGTATGCTGATCGATTTTACAGAAGCTAAACTTGGATTCTGCTTTTAGGTAAATTTGTTAAAATTTCTGGATTAATTTGGTCTGAGAGTACTTTTGGCATGCCAGTTTTTGTACATTCTTTAGTTAGTTGATCAATGGGCAAATTTGAAAGTGGGAGTGCAAAAAGGGTGAATGAAATTTGTAGTTTTTTCTCCAAAATCGCTCATTTATGGTTTGTGTACTAGTGAAGTCAAGTATGATGGTTCAAAGTTGAAACCATTAATTATTTTATTTGTGATCAGTATATACTCGTGTCGTATCCATATCTAGAAGAGGTGTCTAAGGTTGAAAAGTGAGGCATTCAACATAAATATGTAATGAAATTTTATAGTATGATCTAAGTGAAAAAGATAATTACATGGATTTTGTAACAGATACTAAAGTAATTGTTGGTGTTGAAACTGATTTCAATCTCAAGTTTGAAAAGAAGTGGCAAAAGTGAGTGCATATTGTGTTAAGTGTATGTTGTATGAATGCGAAGATGTGAAGGTAGGGGTGGGTGTATGACAGATGTAGTCCAATTCCAATGACTTGAAATCACATAGTAGTAGTAGTAATAGCATGGTGAGAGTCCCTTGATGGAAATGGAATAGTAGTAGAAAACATATCCATACATGGATGAGGAATCAAGAAAGTTGAGTTGTGATAATGATGTATGTAGGTGAATGCATCGACAGACTTGATCGAGTTAACAGACAAAGAAGCATGGCTTTCATCAACAAAGCTGGTTGTGAAACCGGATATGCTGTTTGGGAAGCGTGGGAAGAGTGGCTTGGTTGCTTTGAACTTAGATGTCGCTCAAGTTGCAGATTTTGTCAAATCTCGTCTTGGTGTTGAGGTTTCTCACATCTCAAACTTGCAAGTGTTTAACTTTTATATAATTGTCATTAATTATACCTACAAAACGCCTTAATAAAAATTAATTATACACCGCAATGTTGTAATACAAAAAACAAATCATAGTACCGTAATAAGCAAATAACTTGTTTCTAGGTTGAGATGGGTGGATGCAAAGCCCCAATAACAACATTTATTGTGGAACCATTTGTTCCACATGATCAAGAATATTACCTTTCTATTGTCTCTGAAAGGCTGGGCAGCACTATTAGCTTTTCAGAATGTGGTGGTATTGATATTGAAGAGAACTGGGAGAAGGTAATTCCATTCCATACTTGTTGATAACACTTCAAAGTTCAAATTAATTTTTTTAATTTTTTTTGATCTCAGGTTAAGACTGCTTTCCTTCCAACCGAAAAACCTTTGACCCTAGACACTTGTGCTCCATTAATTGCTACACTTCCATTGGAGGTGCGTTTACTTTACACATCCTTCCTTCACTAATCACTATGAATAATATATGCAAGCAGCAAGCAAGTTTATTGTTAGATGTTTTTTCCTTCCGTTATGATTTCGGGATAAATTAGTGGGGCACTGGGGAAATGTTAGGATTTAAGTGGGAAAAACCTTTGGTTTCTTTAAGTTAAGTCATTCTTTATGCATTAAGTGGGAAAAACCGGATACATGAATGTTTGGTATGCTGATTTTGATCTGTTGATAAAACCAGGTTCGAGCAAAAATTGGCAATTTCATAATGGGTGTGTATGCTGTATTTCAAGGTAAGCAATGATTTTTCTTTTTTTGTAAGTGATTTTCTTGTAGTACCAATTAATTGTATTCGCTGCTATCTCCCACTTGAACAGATCTAGATTTCAGTTTCCTAGAGATGAATCCATTTACGTTGGTAAATGGAGAGCCATTCCCTTTGGATATGAGGGGAGAGTTGGATGATACTGCAGCATTTAAGAACTTCAAAAAGTAAGCTTTTGTTGTTATCCTTTCCTTTCTATTTTTACATTTATTTATTTATTTGCATTTAGGTGGGGTAACATAGAGTTCCCTTTGCCATTCGGAAGGGTCCTAAGCCCTACAGAGAGCTTCATTCACACGCTTGATGAAAAAGTAAGAAATATATGATCTTTGTTTGAGGTTTCATCTGACTTTCTCTACATACCATATACTAAATTAAGTCAAAAAGAAACAACACCACATACACAGGCACATCCTTTCTTATTTCTGATCATATATATAT